TGTGGGGGCGGGTGACATGGGTGGTGTGGTAGCTCCGGAGGTCACATGCTCAGTCACACGTTCCGTAGCTGCCAGCGTGCTCACATCTGTCCTGTGTGTTGTCTCTGCTGTGACGTTAGTAGAGTTAAGGCTGGCTGCCAAAGTCCCTTTGGTGAATTCGATCAGAGAAGGAGTCACTGCAGCTGGTTTCTCAGACGTCTTATTGTGAATCCCTGTAACTCTTTCCACAAATTCATTTTTCTTGACAACTTTAACCCATACCTTGTTAGGGATTAAGTATCCTTAGGTTAGAAAAAGGGAAAAGAAAAAAAGCACAATCACTTTTAGCCAAAGCAGGCAGATCACTGAGCAATGGTCTTAACTCCCGGTCCTAGGGGTGGCTTCGTGGTGCCGGCTCTCCCCAGCCCAGTGAGTTAGGGAGGTGACCCACGACCACGGCTCTTTCTCTTCTCCCTGTGTATGTCCAGTGTGCAGCCCACCGGAGAAGCCACTGACACTTTGCTTTTGAAACTCCTTTGCCCCGTGACTCCCCAGCCTGCTGGAGGCTTAAGAGCTTCACTATTCAATCTAGTTCCCAAAATATCAGACTGAAAGTTTCACACTATGGTATAATTCACCATAAAAAAGAGACCAGGACCACCGCACACACCGAGGTGTACAAAGCAGGTAGGTGGCTGCATGGACATTCACACCCTCAAAGAGCTCTTTGCTACAGGAATTCTTGGAGATGAACAGCCACTGACATAGAGTGGGAGTGCAATTAAATAGTGGATGTACAAGCGAATGAACTCCCCAAAGAAGACAAGGAAGTTGGCAGGGCCACGCAAGGGAAACTTGAGGGCTCTGCCATCCAGTTGTGTTGGGGCCTCCCTTCCCACACTAGCCCCCAAACCCCCGCCAGCCCTGCACGAGCACACCACCTCTCCCATGGGACCGAGGATGCTCTGGGGCCACTGTGGACCTGTGCAACAGTCACAGCCTTCTTCTCACTTACGTGGCTTGTCAGATGCCACCTGGCTTCCAGATAAGGACAAAGAGAAGATCCAAACCAGCATGAGGGCTGTCCACATCTTGCAGGTGAGCCGGGAGCAGGGTGGTGTGATCCCTGAGGCTCCCAGCTGGCTGGTTCCTCAGGCTGTTAAGGGTTCCCTTCTGCCTGGCTGAGGGATCTAGGGTCAAGAAAGCACACTGTCAGAAGGCACCTGGTCAGTGACACATACCCTTATCTGAGGCACAGGGCTCAGCACTGCACCTGCTACGGAAGCCCCCAACAGGATCCAAGGTGCAGATTGAGCCAAGGTCTTAGGAAGAACACAAACTGTTACAGGCAAGGTGGTAATGGCAATCTAACAAAAGCACTGACCTGATTTCTTTACCGCTCTCATCTTCTGCAAGTCTTACTCTCCCATCCCAGAGGCCAGAGTTCCAGAGGGCGGGGGAGAGCCAAGACTTGGACATGTGGACAGGGCTAAAACCTCATCACCAAGACTCTTTTCTCATAGTCTGAAGGATACAAGTCAGGCTCAATGCCCCTGTGTGCACCCTGTGACAGCTGATTGTGACACTTACGTGGCAGACAATACTTAGTCATCAATCCTCCCATAGTCCATCTATCTATCCATTACCCACATGTCTATCCACCCATCTATCCATTACCTGTCCATCTATCTGTTCATCTATCTGTCCATCCACCTGTCTAACCATTCATCCATCCATCCAATACTCCATCCAACCATCTACTCACCCACTTGTCCATCCACCCATTCAGCCATCCACCCATCTACCCATGCATTCATCTATTCACTATTCATAGAACCATCTACTTTTCCAGCCATCTATCTACCCACACAGCCAGCCAGCCAGCCAGCCAGCCATCCATCCATCCATCCATCCATCCATCCATCTATCCACCCAATATTCACTGAGTATCTATTCATGTGCCAGGGACGTACACTTAGGACAAAAGATGAAAAACATATAACCTCCACCAAGGGGCCTGCAGCCCAGTGGGAGTCAGAGGAAAGAGGTCACTGCAAGCTGTCACAAGTGCTAAACAGGGTGTGACTTGTGCCAGGAGCAGGAAGGTGACGGCATCTGGTCAGGCCTTGAAGTGTGAAGCGGGATGGTCCTCTGGATGGAGGCCCCAAGTGTGGCTGGCTGGCAGAGGATGGGACAGCACAGGGAGTTAGAGGGTGTTGATCCTGGGTGGTTATGGGTTTCCTGGGAAAGTGACACCCACGTACATTGTGAAAGCCAGATCGGGATCCACGTGGTAGAGAAGGTGAGTGGAAGGAAGCAGCAGATGACAACAGCAGGGTCAGTAGTGAGGAATGAACAATGAGATGCAGGTGAGGCCAGAAAGAAGCTGCTGACCCCGCTAGCCATGTGGCAGTTTGGATTTCACAGCAGGGGGATGGGACCCCTGCCCATCCACACACAGTGGTCACGTGAAATACCTACAGGCCTTATGCACCAGGCAGCAAAGGGCTCAGCTGCTCATCTGAAAAAGATCCCACCCACACAACATCCTCGGAGAACCATCTAATCTGACTCACCCTCTGGCCAGATGCATCTTGCTCTGTCTTCCAGCATCACCTTTCTTCCCACCTGCCTCATCATATCAAGGGCAGGGCTGTCTCTTTCATCCCTAGCATTCTGGGGACCACACACCTGACATATGGATCTCACTGAACGAACTGCTGTGGAGAGGGATTAATCCTGAGCTTGCTAACCAAGTGACCCAGACATGTCACATAACTTCTCTAAGCCTCACTGAGCTGTATAAGTGACCCAAGGTCACACAAGCAAGAACCCAGCATGACACCTACTCAGTCCTCAGCCCATCCAAGAAGCATGTCTAGTTGTGCTGAGAGTCACAGGCAAGCAGTTTCCATGCAACATGAAGCGATGTCTGGGGTGCAGGTGGGGGCAGCTTTCTGCCTCCTGTCATCGATGGGGACTGTTGTAAAACCCTCATGCACAAACCTTCTGGGAGGCTGGGACATTCCCAGAGGCCTCCATCTTTTTCTGAGTCAGTAACTTGTTCTAGCTTTAAATAGCACTTCCCTCCAACATGATCATAAGGGCTCCTGGTGTCTTATAGGCTTAGGAAAATTACCCAGCCTTACAAACCATAGATTTGCATGTGTTTTCTAGGGTGCAAAAAGCATTCTTTATACTGACAGAAAAAAGTCTGAGTAGGTTGGTGGAGAAGAGACAAAGCATGCTGACAGGAAGAATTGAAACTGGAAGGTCCCAGCACAAAAAGCTCACAATCAGCCGATAGCCAAGGCGATGCAGCTGGGCACCCTGTAATAGTGTATTTCCACAGCTCTCTTTAGCCACTCACATTTATATCTAATGGGCAAGAAGAGTCTTGGCTCCCTGAATGCACTCCAGGCCTTAGGGCCCTTTTCTGTCCCTTCAGTAGATAAACTTTTTCTATAAAGGGCCAGATAGCAAGTATTTTAGACTTTATGGACCATAAAGTTTGTGTCTCAGTTATTCAACTACCACTGTAGTTTAAAGATAGCCAGGGATATGTGAATGGATGGGCATGTCTGCATCCCAGTAAAATTTTATTTACACAGACAGCCAGTGGGATTTGGCCCACCGGCTGTGGTTTGCCAACCACTGCTGTAGCACTTTACTTCAGGGTTTGCAGCTCCAGCTAAGTAAGGCAGGGAGGAACAGACTCAGCTTACCAATGGATTTCCTCCTGGCTGGCTGGCTTGTTACTTTGGAACAGACACAAATCACATCAATTCCTGGGGTTTCTACTTGGGCTTCTGGGACCTTCCCTGTCCTCCAGCACTGGTGAAAGCAGCATCCCCCATGCACTGAGGGCCCTGCAGTTGTTATGGCATTGCAACACCAGGCCAAGAGAACCTCTTGCAGTAACCTGCATTTGTGTCACAAGAGCAGCCCACAGGGGACTGCATGGTCTTTGTCTCCTAGGTTCATCCTTGCCCATGGACCACCATCCTGGTCTACTCAGAAGGCAGGATCTCTGATTGTGAAGGACCACACACTGGGCCCCCACTGGTGACAGGGTGGGCTTTCCTTTTTCTGTGAGCCTCTGCTGACCCTGCCAAGCCTCCTCAGGATCCTCGCCAGCCTCACTGTTCTGTCCCCAAACAGGCAGGCCCACCCTGCAGGGTGTGGGACACTCACCAGAGGCAGCTGCTCAGGGCAGGCTCTCGGGCTGGGCCAGCTTTGTCCTTGGGGAGCTGTGGGCTTGGCACTGTGGGCTCGCCAGGTACGGTCTGGCTCGGCAGGTAAGGGCAGCTTGGCAGGACACTCCCAGGCCATGGCATGCTTTGTGGCACATGTAGGACTGAGGCAGATGCTCCACTGTGGTAACACACGCATCTAGGGGTTGAAAGAGAGTCAAGGATGCTTAGGAAAAGCATCAGGGAAAAGAGCCAGTGAGTAGGTGGGCATGAAAGAACAACATTCAACAGACCATTGTGCTACAAAATGACAACATGTATCACAGCTTTCAATGTCGAAACTTCTGATGTGGCATTTTCTACTGTAGAAATTTCTTCTAAGGAAGCAACTGGACAGATTGTCCAAAGATAGAAATCTACAAAGATATTCACCAGAGCCTTATTTATAATGGCAGAAATCTGCAAAAACATTTTAAGTATTGTCTCATTTACATATAAAATATGATGGCAGTATTAAAAAAAATACAAAAATTTCTATTTCTTTATTTTATTTAAAAAAAATTTTTTGTACTGGGACTCGAACTCAGGACCTTGCACTTGCCAGGCAGGCACTGTGCCACTGAACTATACCCCCAGCCACTCTTTTTTTATTTTAAAGAGAAAAAGAAAACAAAATTTCAAAACAAGATAATAGGAGGATAGCTAGGCATGGTGGCACACGCCTGTAATACCAGCACTCTGGAGGCTGAGGCAAGAGAATTGTTGCAAGTTCAGGCCAACCTGGGCTATAAAATGAGTTTAAGGCCAGCCTGAACTGCATAGCAAGACCCTATCTCAAAAAGACCAAAAAAAAAAA